CCATGAAGGATATAACCTAGACACTTGAGACATGAAATGTAAGGTTAGAACCTTTGTTGATCGGTTGAATGGGTGATTATTGCGTCAGTCACGCAAGATCATGCTATTATTATAGTAAGAGTATATAAAAAGTATAATTAAACTGCAAATAAAAGAAAAATATCAATTATTTAGCCATCAACAAAAAATATCAGTCCGTCAAAATCTGCATGATCCTATTAGACTGACCAATAAAAGTTATTAACAGTAAGTAATTTTCGATAAATATTTATTTATCGAAAGTTTTACGATCAAAATTAATTATCATAATTATCATTTTTTTTATATTAAAAAAGGAGCCTTGTCACTTTTTTTATTAAAAAATTCTGTATTCTAAATAAATATAAAGCGTTGCAACATCATTCTTAATAATTTTATTAAATTAATTGTTCGATATTTTGGAAGTTTAAATATATATTTTTTCTTTTAAATATACTTTTTTTATCGAAGTACACTATTAACTTTGATAGAAACATTAACTAATAATGTTTCCCTTTCTTCCAGGATTACTAGATGGTAAAATTCGAAATTAATTTAAAAATTCTTTAACACCAACGTATCTATTTTTTCTACTTTTATAGGTAATAAATCGTTAAATTTTAATATTTATACTTTTTTTTTGATATCGAAATTTTTTTATACGTATAAATAAATAATAGAAAAATTTTATTGGATAATGGATATACAGTCTATCGAGTAGTCTAATGGTAATTTTATAGGATCATGTGTCCCGAATCTATAAAGTATAACAGTATAGCCGATAGTATAGTTAATTTGCAACTATACTGTATAGATAATAAATTATACTGTATAGATTTTCGTCAACTATACTATACAACATCGGAGGTATATATCATACTCAATATCGTTTGACCGGATCCTCTAAGTGGTTTCTTAACCCATTTGCCGATCCTATTTAAAAACAGTTGAAGTTTAACCTGCATATGAATCAAGAACGATACTTTTGCTCCTCAGATTTGATCATCTTTACATCATCTTTACATCATCGGCACGTGTTGATAATCATACATTATTTATTCCTTTATGATTACTAAACTTTTTTTTTGTTTGCCTTATTATTTGTTACCTCTAAGACTGACTGAATATGTTGCGTAAAATATTGCCAAAAATAGAAATAAAAGTTCCCAGAAAGAGAAAAACTTTAGGTAGGCTTTTATTGTGTTTAGAAATATACTGCATTTCGGAATGTTAACATGCCAACCTATTTATAGGTGCTAAAGATGTCAAAATGTCGAACAGCCCATCTGAAACTAATGCTGTTTCTGGTTTGTAATTTCGTATATGGCTATTTGTACTCTTTATTGTATTCTAATTTCTTGTATACGTCTGAAGAGCCTGCTCTTAAGAACCACTCATCTGATGAGAAACAAAACACAGCTTCAGCGGAATTCACTTCAAAACCGGCAAAAAATAATGAATTTGTCGAAGGTGACCTCGAAGAGTTTGCAGAGAGACTGGGAATCAAAGAATTTACAGAAAATAAAGTCAAGTGGAAAAAATTTTACAGTACGTAATAAGTCTAATTCAGCTTGGTTGCATTTTTACTAATATATCCTTTGTTTAGACTTCGCTGGCTTGAACTTTGTTTGGCCTTCCGAATTGAACGCCTATGAGCATCGTGAAGTCTTTGATTACATTGTTGATCCTATTTGGGAGCCAGACGGAAAGGAACTTGCAATAAATACGATCGAGTATCGTCGTCTACTTGAATCCGGCATTCTTGATGAACCGAAAGGAACGCGAATTGTCGATCCCATTCGGGAGCCAGACGGAAAGGAACTTGCGATCGAGTGTCGTCGTCTACTTGGTTCCGGAACTCTTGATGAATCGAAAGGAACGCGAACGCACGTTTTACTTGTTCATGGGAAAGTAATTGGGTACGGAAACGAGATATCTTCAAAACAAAGCAAAGAATTACAGAAAAAGTTCCCAGGATGCTTCTACGCACCTATTGTTGAACCTTTTGTTGAGTTACGCAGATTCTATGCTGTTGCTGATAATAATACGAAAGAGTGGCAGGTTTGTATGGTTTATTAGTCCGGAGCGAAGCGAAGGACTATATACTATTCGTTTCGGTTTCACAAATGTCCCGATGTCCGCCCGCTCACTGTTTGAGTCGATATCCATACATTCGTATTGGTTCTATCGGTTATTTCGGTTAACGTCACTCTTTGTTTATTCATGTGACAAAAATAAAAATAAAAATAGAACAAAGATTTGCTTGTTTGATTACGTTATACCGTTTATTTTTATACCGTTTATTTTTTAATTAATAATTAATCAAAATTAAAATAGAATAAAATCATAAAATCATAATTTTTTTTTTTTATTCAATTTTCTATTTATTTAATGTAACGAAAAAAAAAAATAATATTGTTTAAACTGAACTTTATAATGACGAAACCACTTTGATTTTTTTTCGATATATCTTCTTTTTATCTGAAACAATAAAAAGTAAATAATTAAGCGCGCGTCTTGCAAATATATAATACATCCCGCGTCTTTCTAAAATAATAAAAATAAGAAAATACCCCAACTTGTCCTCTATCGAGCTATCCTGGAGGTAAGCCTTTTTTCCTCCGCCTTCCTTTCCTGTAACCTGCTGCTATTTTTAATACGTTGAAGTCTGTCAAACGTAAATTGTCTGAAATAAATGTCGCTAAGAGAACGAATGCGTGACGCCACTACGAATGTCAATCCTGCAGCGAACTCTTTACTTCCAATATCTATTTTAGCCTTTGACAACGTCAGACCCTGACTTTTGTGCACGGTTATTACCCACGCTAGGCAGAGAGGAACTTGTTGTCTGGAACATATCGTCCCAGACTTACCTTCCCAACTTCTTTTAATGGGTACTATTGGAACAACATGGTCTCCTTCTGTCGATGTTATGGTGGGTCCTTCATACGCATCGAACTTGACGAAAACTGCTGCTGGAAGTGATGGTAGACCTTGATTTTTGAACAGTATGTCATGAACGGTTCCGATCAATCCGTTCACTAATCCTCCTTTGGTCCACAGGTTTGCTGTGAGCATTACTCGAGCTCCTTTTGCCAATAATAACTGAGGTTCAAGTCCCTTTGCCACATCAGAACTGGCTTTTTTGGCTTCGTTTCCGCCGGTATGAACTGCCATAATCTTGGCCACAGGTCGCTTCAAAGATCTGAGCTTCTCTATATTGATTTTGTCAACATCATTCCACGTTGTTAATAAGAATACAACATCTGAAAATCTTTCACATTCCTGCTGATTTAGATTCTCTTCGAACCGTGTACTGAGTATCTTCCAATCGTCAAGGCTGCTTTCCCCATCACGCATCCTTAGAAGTATGTCACGGAATTCTTTTTGTTCGTTTGAATTACCTGTTTGCCTTAGAATTACGTTGAACTTGAATACTTCTCTTATATGTTTATATGCAGCTATACCTTTATTAGAATTTCCGTCTACACTTGTGTTCTTGAAGAACATAGGAACGTCAAGTACTGGCGGTAATTGAACAAAATCGCCAAGTAATATGATGGATCTTCCTCCGAAGGGCTCTTTGGAATTTTTGGGAAAAGCCTGTCTTAATCTCATGTCTATTACCGCGAGCATTCGACGTCCGACCATGCTTTTCTCGTCAATTATTAGATAAATTACTTTTTTTAACCTTTCTTGTAATTGTTTCAGTCGCCTGCTATCAAGTTAGAGGTTTTTTGGGTTGCGTATTGGTATGGAAAGCGTTGAGTGTATCATTGATCCATTTATATTAAAGGCTGCTATACCCGTAGGTGCGATAACCAGAACCGGAGAATCAGTATTGGTTCCTGCCATTTCGTGAAGTTTCTGCCATATCATCTTGATAAGATACGACTTTCCCGTACCAGCGGTTCCCATTATCATAATCCTTAACGCTTTGACCTTCTTCCCGTTGAGAATATCATTGTAATGTGATTCTATTCGTGTGAAGATTTTTTTTTGATTTTCGTTTAACTTCCAGTAATCTATTGAATCAATATCAACTTCTCTTCCGTCTAATATCCCAGAATTCAAGGCGTTCTAAATGAATTCGTCAACATTAGCAATATCGTTATTGGAGTAGTTTTGTTGTGCGTCAGTTATCCAATCGTGATTCTGATCCATATCACGAGAACCAAGGTCAGATGCGCAATGTATGATCGCTTTGGGTCCCATCTCCGCGAGCCGCATCCAGTCGTATCTATATTGTTCCTCATCCTCATCTTCGTCCTCTTCGAACGGTAGTTCGTCTTCACTATCTTCATCATAAACCTCTTCTTCGTCAACAGGTTGTCCGAGCAAGTCCTGTGGTGCATCGTTTATCGTATCTATATGTTGATCGTATAAGGTAGACCAATTGATATTGCCGTTTTCTGTAAGTACTTGCGTTTTGCGATGTCGGACGTGGAGTAGAACTTTTACTCTGCAATAAGCCTTCCATTGATCTCCGTTACGATAAGATGATGGATGAGGCCAGACGCGAACTATGTTTTCTTTCTTACACTTTTTCCATTGACCCCTGGAAAACCTATGCGTAAGGTATAATTCAAATAACGAATAATCTTCTAATTCTTCTGGTCGTTACCAATATCTTTTTAAAGCTGATTGAGTTGTAAGTCCAGTGTCTTCTACATTATCTCCACTACCTGTTCATTGGATCCACCTTAATCCTTACTCGTTAACATTTAAAGATACAAAGGAATGACTTGAATGATATAGTGCAGTTCCATTAAGGAGGTGACAGGTTTCCTGAGCTGATATGTCACGTTCCGACACGCTGTTGAGTAGGAGTTTCTGAATTGGAGAAAGTGAAGAATAGTCAGGATTGCTGTTGTCAAGAATTTGCTTGAAGATCTCAGAGAATGCCAGTGAACTTGGTTCCGCTTTACTGGCATATTTTGATATATATTGGAGCGCTGCGTGAATGCTAAGAATAGGCTTTAAATCCAAATTTGCTCTCCATCCCTGTAGCTGTATTCTGTTATGTGGATTAATGTAAGGATAGTTTCTTGCCATAAGTAATTCTGGCTGCCCGTTTTTATCATCACGTATTAATGTGCTTCTGATGTGTTCCTTAGGGTACCCAAATCTACATGTTTGCACTCCTTCACAATTTGTGCGTATGCAGTACGATGGGCTGCATCTCGTGTGATGCTGAAGTTTGTTGATTAATTCGATATAATCTTGTAAGCCATCATCGATTTCACTGCTATCTTTTTGGCATGGGTGCTTCTCAGGTACGGGTGCATGTATTGCTGGATTTATTGTGGTGAATATAGAATCAATGTAATCAATTACGTTCTTCATCTCTTCTTCGTTGTTTTTTAAATTCTTCCATTCAATAGTGGGTGCGTTGCATTTCTTTCCAATACCGTGCAAGTGGAAGCTCCCTCTGTGCTGCCATTCATACCGAAACCACCAGTCCTCGAGGTAACATTTTTCCTTAAGCACATTATTAAAAAAACTTTCGAATCTTTTGGTAAAGAACCAAGCCGCGATATGAGGGTTATTAATGACTTTTGATTGAGCGTCTCCATCATCTGGCATGAGTCGATGAAGGTTAGGCCAGTGAAAGTCTGCTGTGCAGAATGTATAAAATATTAGACCTTTGTGTCCTATTTGCTTTATCATGTCTGTAAGTTCACCACGTTTTGCTATCCAAAATTGCCTTGTCCCTCTTAGCCCTTCCCCGTATCTCATTATTCTGTCTGCTAATTGTTGATTTCCATTGGATATCATCTCTAGAATGTCAGACACGTCAAGCTGTTTTTCGCTTAAATTCAGTCGGACATATACCTTTCCTTCTTGCAAATCTCTCCATCGCATCGTAGAATTTAATGAAAAGTACCTACATCTCGAGTGACGTCCAAATCGTCCATCTTTGAACCAGAGTAAGTGTTTAAAATACTCTGCTGGCTTGATATCTCATGGACGATTAGATCTGAGATCACCTTTTCCATATGGATATAGAGTCGGAAATGCCCTCGCAATATACCCTAGTGTTTGGAATTCGTTTATTGGACTTCCGTCAATCTCAGGCCACAATACTGGTTGCTCGTTGCTTTGTATGCGATCAAGTGTATCGTTAATAATGGCATTTTCTCTTTGCGTTGAAGGTAAGGCAGGCACAAACGAATGAGTTATTGCGTCGCTCTAGTCGTGTCCATTTTCATTTTTGTTTTCGTTTGAAATATCATCCATCTCATCAATTATTTGGTCAGATCTTATCTGATGTATCTGATTAATGATAGAACCGTTTTGAGGTAATGATTTAAGTATTTCATCGTCAATGATTATATCTTCGTAATAAGGGTTATTTGCTTTTAACCAATATAGCGCTTTTGCTATTTTTTCGTGGCGTACGGTGAAATCTCTAAATCCTGATGTGTTGTTGGCTGATTCTCGTCACACTACTAGAACGTCTAATGATGAAGGATTTCGTGGAAGGTGCCTTGTGAACTCCCGAACGTCTTGCGGAAAATTAATCACATTGCCTTTGTAGCTGTTTTGTCCACCTTGTAATCGATATACTGACATTACCATAAAAACCTGCGCAATGAGCATCTCTTCGATGTCGGTAAGTCCCTGAAGTTCATCAGGAACCTCGCCTGGATCCATGTTATTATCCGCAGAAAATTTTTTTGGTGTCTTTTTGTCGTTGTGGTAATGACGACACTCGCCCATGATGAGAGTCATATTGGAAATCCGTTCGTTACATTCGGGGCAAGTATTATACTGTATGTTATCCATTTTGTTACAAAATTTCTGCAATACTTTGTGATCGTTCTCGCTAATTTTAGTAGACGATGTTGACCTGACATGCATGTTTCTATTATCAGGCTTTCTTTGAATATGTTCATTATCATTTGATTCGTTTATTTGCTGATCTTGCAGTTGATTCTTATTATGAGCTCTCAACACGCGTTTACGATTACTTTCATGTGCTAAGCAAATAACATGTTCATCGTCCCTCTCCATTTCTTTTTTATTATTTCTTCTTTTGCGAAGGCTTTCTAGACGTTTATTACGTTTATTTTCACTTTCTTTCACTCACTTTTGACGTTTTCTTTCACTTTCTCGATTTAGTCGAGCTTGCCTTTGTTCCGGCATCTCCTGTGCTTTAGCTTTTCGCTTTCGAATCGTTTCGGGATTAACATTTTCATATGTATTGTCAGACATTTCTCAAAATATTTGATCTTTATAATCAAAACTACCATTTCTTAAAAAAAAAATCTGATCTTTATATTTTTGTAGAATTTTACTTTATAAGCTCTGCAATCTGTCAATAACAATCCATCCGTGCGCCATTGAGAAAATGACTGTCAAGAACAATCCATCCGTGCGGCATTGAGAAAATGATCAATGTTATAGCTAAATCGAGAATAATTAGTTTAAATGATGTACACACTTTATTGTTATTCTTTATTGTTATTCTTTACATTGTTATTCTTTACATTGTTATTAGGTAATTTATTACATATAAAAAAACATTTACATTGAAGACATTTTGATCTTATATTTTTCGCTTTATTTGATAGTGATTTGAATTGAATTAATATTACAAACGTTAAATTTTAATTATTATGACTTTTTTTTCGAATACTTATAACCGTTAAATAAATTTTTGATTTTGTAAATTTCGTGGCTTATCACCATATTACATTTGTACGAAATATGGTTATTCATGGCTTATAATATGAACCTCGTGGCTAATTTATTAACGTATTACATAAATAATAAATTTGACTAGCTATTGTGTTATATTCGTTAACTACCTTCCTCCCGTGATTGCTTCAATCAAATTTATCCGTGTTTAGTTAAATTTACCCATGTTTAATTAAGTCGCTTTTCGCTCTAGACTCCCAACGGTTCCCGTTCCCTAGTTTAATTCATGATAATAAGGTTATTGACAGGTATAATTCGATACCTTGTGAAACTTTATAATGAATGATATCTGTCAATGCCTAATAATGGGAATGGTGTTACAAAATTTTAGACGCACATTAGCCTTCGAAATGTTGATAATCTTAGTGATGTAGTAACAATGTCAAACACTGAACAAAATTTTCGAATGGTAATCGATACTGGAGCAAGCGTGACTATAATTCCATTTTTTTTAAGACAACAATTGGCGGATTATTGTGATGGTTGGGAAAGATTTACTGTTCGAGCTAGTGGATATGGAAATGGTGTAAAAATCACTCCGGCTTCAAAAAATTGGGATGTACACCTAGGTGATGGGAGAAATTGGTCCCGATGGCACAGCACCAAAGAAATTTATTCTTGGCTAAACAATCCTCCATCTTATATCAATTGCGGATTAATTGGTTACGATGTTCTCAACAATATACCTCATTATAAACCTTGTAGGGTGCCTTATGTCTTTCTCAGGGATGACGTTTTCAAACAAATTCAACAGTTGCAAGATGTCATATGAATATTTTTTTCTTAAAAACGGGAATTACTAGACTGGATTTTATCTCGTTTGTTATTTTTTTTATATGAATAGTTGTGTATTAAAATTAATATTCAAGACCCATACATGTAATTTTCTAATCAGTTTATGCTACCATGTGTATCTATTGAAAAAATAAAAAATAGTATCTGCAGTATATATGTAATAATTAAAGTTTTATGTTTATTCAATGAGATCCAATTCTCGAAGATGCTCTGGAATAATTATATATGGGTCTTCGTAATACCAAACAGAGGATCCTTAACGTACATTGAGGGTGTACAATAATTAACGTACACCTCAGGAAAGTGTACGATAATAACATACACCCTCAGTTTTTGGTGTGTACAATAACTAAATGTACAATTATATGCTTTATTTCTAAAAATAGCTGTAATATTATGTAAAATATAAATACTTAACGTACTTAACGGCAAAATGACTTTATTAAACTTTTTTTTAAAAAAAAAACTTATATTTTTTCAAAAAAAAGAAAATTTCAAAAAAATTTTTATCAAATATTTTATTCACTGTTAATATTTCCAAATTCACTCAGCGTTCTATCTATTAAAAATCTCTGCACATAACCCTTTACATTTCTTGATTCTCATCATTATGAACATATTCCCCAAATCTCACACTCTCTAACATAATTTCACCACTTTTTCAGCTGTTATGTCTTTATCTTCTTGAATAAATCTAACTGCTGCTTCAGGAATAAGAACTTCTTGCAAATATTCCATTGGTGTTTGTGGTATTGTTAGAGATTTTGTTAAAATTTTAGTATCAATAAATAGCTTTCTTAAAGTTTCTGCAATTACAATAGCATCACGGGGACCATAATAACCAGGCTAATTTTAAGATAATTATAAAAGAAACTTGATTATTTATTATTTATGTATATATATGATATATCATATTGATATAATAAAAAAATTCACCTGAAAACTTTCAATTCGGCTCATAAGACTCATAGGTGAATTAATTTTGTTTTTTCCTTTATCACAATATTCTCTCATAAAATTATCACGATAGAAGCTTTTGACTTTCTTTTTACAAATATCCAATAGATCAGTACTGAAATTTTCAATTCTTTTAGGAATAGAATTGAAATCTATCACTGTTGGATAACCTTTTTTAATACCATCTGGAATGATTTGCATTTCTCCTATATGAGCATGACAAAATTCAAATTGCTCTACGGCTTTTAACCTTTTTCCTTGAAAATTCATAAATAAATCCTTTAACTTATTGGGCAAAGGAGATGGTAACTTTTCATCACAATAAGGACATATTTCAGGTATCTTTATAATAAAATTTTGAGTTTTGTTAAATAAATTATAACACCAACTGATTTTTATAAATAATCAAAAGAAAGTGGAATTATAATTACTTACTGTAATAGAGTTAATATTTTCATCATTGCTACTTGAGTTTCCCTTATTACCGATCTGAAATAGATAAAAAAATTATCATAACTATTTATTGCATAAAAAATATTTATAATGAATTTCTTACCATAATATTTTCTTTGTTTCCATTAGAATCTTTCTCCTATGTATTATTAACAAGAAATTATTTTTTTATAGTTTTGAAAATAAAGAATGAATGTATAAAATCTTTACCTTTAGTTTTTTTGATTTTTTTCTTTGAGAATTAATTTCTATACCAGATTTTTTCCTTTTATTTGAATGTACGCCACCTTTTGGCTTTACATTTTGTAGTATCTTTATTATGTCATTATTATTAATAATTTGACCATTACAATTCTCAATTGTTGCCGCAATTTGTGCATTTAATAATAATGTTATAGTCATCAAAAATTATAGCTGTCTCTGGTTTTTGATTAACAAATCGTTGTAATTTCCAAATTGTACGATTAAGTTTATATTTATAATCCTGTTCTAGCTGTGGCTGTTTCATTATTAATTGATCTTGCAAATCATGCAAAGGTTTATGTTTGTAAAATGATTGGTAAATTTGTATCATTTCGGATTCATTAGGATCTTTACACCAGCATGAAGGATACATCTTTTTAGAAAATGAATCAATATTTAATTGTGTAGCAACACGAAGAATGTGATGACAAATTATTCCAGAAAAAGCCATATATCCACATGTACACGTAAAAATTTCATTATTCAAACTGTATTCTACTACTCTTCCATTACTTGAAGATCCAAATCTTGTAATAAGAAATATTTGAAGACTTTGATTTATGCTATTAAATCTATTAAATAGAAAGTAAAATTAATAATATTTATTATAAATAATTCTGATGAAAATTTATACTTACATATTAGATTGAATGAAAAATTCACTATAATAATAAAATAATTGTTAAATAAAAAAAAATCCAATTTTTATATAATAAAAAAAAAGAATTATTTACCTATCAGGAGGAATTTCTTCACATTTATAGCAAGAAGATTGTAACAATTGCTCTTGAAATTTTTTTAAAGCATAAATAGTAAGAATAGTAGCAGCTTGTTTTTCAAATAGGCTGGGTGTTTAGTAGATAGATTAAGTAGACATCACTATATATATAGTGATGTGAGATGTCTACTTAATCTATCTACTTGCACCATAGTGATGCCTACTTATAGATATTGATGCATACTTACTTATTTTTACGTGTCTATGCCCCTTCTGATGCTTTATTGCTATCCATCTGTTTTCACTGGTCTGTGACTGATTGGTCGCTAAGCAGGGCAGAGGTTTGTTTTTCCATCCTGAAGCCTTTTAACAATTGTATAGGAGTAAAGTTAGTTTTTTCACTCTTTGACCCTTGGGGTTGCCATATTTGAGGTCGAGGGTGTGGCCCATTTGCTGGCCTTTTAAGTTGCTGAAATGGTGTAAAAAAATCATCGGGTGGCGCAGTAAATTTGCAGTTCAGATTTTGGCCAGCTTTATACCATAATTTTGGCCGATCTTTGGAAATTAGCGTCCTGGTAGCGTCCTGGTAGTATCCTGGAGCTGTCATGGAACTGGCTGGGAACCTGAGTATTTCTATTAGTTTGCCAGTTTCAGGCCAGCTTGGATGCCGAATTTGTACTACGCCTTACTGCGCCAGTTACGTGATCCTGTTACAGCACCAAACACCCTTTCATAGTTACAGGCTAGTGACGCAAACATTTCCAGAACATTTCTGGCTTGGATAGCGAGCTCTTCCCCGTTACCTTCCCGTCACATTCAAGGTGGTGGTTGGTTGAAGGTTTGAAGATGCCCATTTGATTACTGGATGAGGCACGAAGTGCCGAGTTGGTGACCCAGATGTGTAATCCCGCCTTTTATGATCCTTTTGATTGCCGGATGAGACACGAAGTGCCGAGTTGGTGACCCAGATGCGCAATCCTGCCTTCTATAACCCTTTTGATTGCCAAGGATGAGGCTCGAAGTGCCGAATTAGTTCAGGCTATACAGCTTTCATATCTTTTTTCATGTATTCTCCTGAACCTTTCTGCTTTTCTGACCTCTTTTCTACCTATCGCCGGTAGTATCCCAAGTTGTAATTTCTTATTTTCTTTCTATATATTATTCTAACTTGGGTTACTACCAATTTTATATCTTATTTTTAGCTCCTGACTTTATAGAACTCTTTCAAGTATAGTTGCTATGAAGGAATACTTTTGGGTAATACTGCATCGATTGTTTTTGGGTATTACTTTTGGGTACTACCACATCGGTACTACTGCATTATTGTTGAATTCGATCACATATATTTTTTATTTTGAAGATTTACAAGTTTCTATGTAATTTTATACTAGTTTCTTACATATACTACCATGCTACTTGCGCAAAAAAAAGCCCAGGCCTCGCCCCCTTGTTTGTTCTGAATAAATTAGTCCGGAGCTGATGATCACTACCGCAAATTTCTGCATATATTATTCTATTGTGCCTATAAAATGGAAGATTATAATGATATTGACACTAAAGCTCTGGCATATGCCCAGAGACGTGAAGAAAGATGCTTAGGCAAAGTTAGTCCTAATACGTATTTATGGTCATGTAAAAAGGGTCATCAATGGGAGGCACCATATAAAAATATGAAACAGAATTATAGATGGTGCAACATTTGCCCAAATGTACCAGAAAGAATATGCCGGTATATATTTGAGGATTTATTGCATAAAAAATTTCCTCTCTGAAAATCTAAATTCTTGGAGGGATTACATCTAGATGGATATAATGAAGAGCTAGGCTTGGCTTTTGAATATAGCGGTAATCAGCACTATCAAATCGTCCCTTTTTTTCACTCGCAATGCAAGGGCAGATGGATCTAGATGCACAAATCTGGTGTGATTGGAAAAAGAAAGCGTTATGCTATCGGGAAGGAGTAATCCTTATTACAATCCCTTACTGTGTAGTAGACTTAGAAACTTTTATAAGGAGCGCTTTATACGCATTCGGTTATCTCCCAATACCCACCTAGGAGGTAACATGGACTCTTCCTTAATATGCATCAATTGTTCTCTCACGAAAGGGCGTTGGGGTCCTGATTCATCTAAATAATATAAAATAGGCATTGGAGAATTCTTTCCAACAACAATTCTCTGAATCTTATGCAGGCTGGGAGACCATTATATCAGATCTGTTATTCTGCGTCGTTCGAAAGGATCATTTTCCTACTCTCCAGAAGTGAGCAAAAATCGGATAGTAGTACCCTTTGGTAGTTGTAGTTCATCAACACCTATTGGGCGATTATATTTTACTGATGGTTTGGAATATATCTGCTCAAGTTTTGTGGCGTCATTAGGACTCATCCCAATCAATCGAGTTGGCTATCATTCATATTATCAACAATTTTTCTTGCAAACCGCTCACATTCTCTACAGCGCTTGCCAGTAGGTAGGAGAAACTCTATTGAATACTGATTTTTAAAAACTCTATATTCAAATAATCCAGCATAACGATCGATCATTGCGAAACTTGTATGCCTGAAACGTGCTATAATTCTTTGGATCTCAACGCCATGTTCATCCATTAATAAAGTCACGTATCCCATAAACTTAGTGCCCTTATCACATTGCAATTTTCGAGGCCAGTTAAGAGGTTTATCAGGATTATCATATATACTCTTAAATGCTTCTGCAACTTCCTCACTGCTCTTTGATGTTAAAAAAATGAAATCTTTATATCTAGTCGCGCAGTCTATAACCAATAGTGCATAGTAATATATTGGGCCATCATTATCTAGTAAATTTGTATCCACATTTTCATCATATGGTATTTCGATTAAATCACATTGGTGCACAGTATTTGGCTTCGTGATTTTAAAGTAACTGGCATAAGGTATATGCTTTGGTAAAAGACGAAAAATTTGATACATTGCTTGGCCCTCAAGCCATTTTTTTACATTAATAAATGGAAAGCTGTAGCCAGCTTTTTTACAAGCATCCCACAATCCCTTAACATTTTGATACAGACCTTCAGGACGATAATATAGTTTTTGCAAGGCAAGATGCTGGTCTAAATTATGAGCTTTTTGGGATCGATATTAATCGTAGGTATTTGTTTTGCTATGATTTGATCTAGCTCTCGCGCTTTTTGAGGATCGATATAAATAACCGGTCTTTCGGCTTGGCGCTCTCCCATTCCAATTTTTATAATTACGAAAAAAAGCTAACATCTATAAAGTCAGATTCTATTTATTAGCTAGGGCACTTTTTTCCTTGCGGTTAACAAAAATATGTTTCTTGAATAAGTATCCTAGCTTTTCAAAAACTATGGAGTATTACGAGCTATGCAAATTAGACGAAACTGTACCTTCGAAAAAACAGAATCCATTTGCTCCAAAACTTCCATTTAGACTAGGAGTTGCGGGCACCTCTGAGTCAGGAAAGACAAAGATGGTAGTACATCAGCTCCTAGGAAGTAAATATCCAAAAGTATATCTATGGATGTCTGGTGAAAAACGTGGTCATAAAATACCAAAAGGCGGAAGCAAAAATTTTGGTGAAAGATATATTCCGTGTGATGATCTAATTGTTGTTGCGCAACACCAAGATGAAGAGCTATGGGAAGTAGTATAATATTTTTATGAATTTATAGCCATGGATAAGCAAGCTCCATGGTATGAAAATGTGAGATTCAAGCTAATCGCACCTGAAGATCTACCTGATATTTCATCTTTCAAAAGAACTTGCCGATCTACTATTATAGTCTTTGATGATCTTGCTGGGGAACCTTTGGCAACTCAGCTAAAAATTGTTCCTTTTTTTAGATCAGGCAGACATGAAGGAATTAGCTCAATTTATATTGCCCAGTGTTTCTATGAAATCCATTAAAATATACGCGGAAATTTTAAATATATTTCGTTGCATCATGGATGTGAAACATTAGATAGTATAAAACGAATTTTTAAAGATATGTATGATGATTATGAGCTTCTAGCAAAAAAAGTTTATGAAGTGATAAAAAAACATTTCATAATTATTGATATCCAAAAACCATCTAATGACCCCTTATCAATTAGATTTAGATGGGACAAACCTTTAAAGAATTGGCAAAATGATTGAATTCGGGATGATTTGTGCTTTGTGGCAGGACCCCGGATATCTAATATAAAGGTCATAATGGACTTTTGGCCAAAAACACCCCTTTTTGCTGAAACTCAAAAAACGATTTTTTGAGCCCTGAAAAATGGGCCAATCTGCCGAAAGTGTGACTTATGACCTGTTTTGGAGATATCCGGGGTCCTTTTGTGGCTTCATCCATATCCATAAGGTAAAGTTTCATAGGGGGTAGTCCTGTCTTTTGGTTCTTCTGTGTATTGGATTGGAAACCCATAACTCTTATTTCTATAGTCTGGATAAAAAATTTCTTTCTTTTTGGTTGGATGAAAAAATCGCCTGTATATATGCCATATAATTAATATTACTGTGAAGGCAAGAATAACAAAGAAGAATATAAGCGGGATTATTTTCTGATCATTAACTAAAGTATTACTATTACCTCCTAACGCAATAACAGGTATAGCTGGAATACTATCATAATCTTCTTTTCCATCAGGTTCGCGCTCTGAGTAGTGTGAAGAAAAATGGGGTATCTCTTCTACTACTTCATCATGCTTATAATCATTAGATGATGAGACTGGGTCCGCTTCTGCACTACCTATTTTTGAATCATGAATTATCTAATGTGGTTGCGAAACAATCTGATCTAGTTCATCTTTCAGATTACTTACCCTGGACCTGAGACAGAAAATTAACCCATCCTTAAATGATAAATTTTGCGTAACTTTCTCCAGTTCATTTTCTAATTCCTTTGCTTTAATCTTAAGAGAGAGATTGCTATACAACTGGTTAGTATTGGAATTCTTTAATAAAACTTTCCGTATAGCTTGTTCCAACTCAGCCTCCAGTTCATTTATTTTAGTTCCAAGAGAGATGATATCAGAATCCTTTAAAGATGAATCTTTTTGTATCAAAAATATTATACTTTTCAGTGATTTGACCGTAGACTTTAGCGATTCTATTTCTTTTAACTGCTTGGCATTAAGATTGGCATGAGACTTTTGTTCGCAAGTAATTTGGGAAACAAGCTTATTATTCAAACCATTTAGTTGATTAGCTAGAGAGATCATTTGATTCATAGATTTTTGCATACGCACATTTTCTTCATAGGAGTGGTCTAGATCATTTTGTATACTCTCATTTTCTTCATAAGAGGCGTCCAAGGCGCTTTGCATACACTTATTTTTTTTATCTAAGGCATGATATTTAGCTATAAGCTGTTTAGCAGATCTTATAAACTTTTCACGATCTTTTTTTAGCTGTTCTTCAAGTTCTAATCGGCTTGGTAGATATCGATTGGATGGAGGGCTTCCAAGTTTACTGCTATTACTATTACCTACATCGTTTAAAGTGTAGATTCGAGGCATAGTTTTTTATCCCGCAAATATAGACAAAAAAAAAAATAAAAACATTTTTCGAAATAATATGCTCTTCTTATATTTCTAAAATGATACATTTATCCTAATTATCCCAATAAATCTTTTCGAATTAATATATTTATCCTATTTATTCTATTAAATTATTTTTGAAATATCATAAAAACTACGCTTATCTTATTTATCACAAAGAATACATTTTTTCTAGTCATCCTATTTAATATTTTTTGAAATATTTTATCTGAAAAAAATACATCATCGTGATTATGGTTAGACAGCGTATAAATTGTAATGTGCCTTTATTTTCAACAGCTGATTACGATTTTATTATGCAACGTGAAAATAAAAGGCCGAGAAAGAAAGTTTTAGATGAATTGATGGACAAATATAAGACATCAATGAAGCACATATATCAGATTTGGAGAGGCGAAGAAGCTAATAGAATTGCCTGGAATCAACCAATAGCTGATATTTCTAATACTACATATGCGGGTGGGTGTTTACCTATAGTAAACTACGACCCACCTCCTGCTATTTCCTCTTCACCTGCCTTACCACTAAAGAAAAATAGCCGAAAAAAGAAAACAGGTAAAATAAGTGTAGCATCTACTGAGACGGAAACAGAGGTGCTTTCACAGCGCAGTGCTAATACCACTGATAATACTGATAATATATCTAAAATGGGATCTGAACTTGAAGAGGTATTAAAACAAATGGATAATATTAAATAACTTACTTCTTTTCAGCAAGTATTTTTATAGCACTTATTGCCTTACCAAGCCACTCTTCAGCTTTTGCAAGACGTTTTTCAAGCTTTACACACTTTTTTTTAAGTCCTCCTCACTATTTGGGCTAGAGGAGTTGGTAGATGCTTGGTCCTGATCTTCTTTTAGCAGATCTTCAACTTCTGAAGCTTTGCTAAAAGTTGGGATAATGTAAGCTTTCCCATGTAACTTCATTCAGAATTGATTTTTATTTGGGTCAAGGACACCTTGAACTTTCCTAATCCATGTCATACCTAAACATAACATTGGTTCGGGTTCTCCATTATCAATACGAATAAAATTTCCAGTAGCTGTGACAGTTTTACTATCCTTATCCTTTATACTGATTGGTACATCAGTAAACCATCCCAATGAATCGGTAATGTGTTTGGAATTACCTTTTATTGCGAAGTCTGATGGCTTATCAGCTTTCTACCCAAGGGCATTAATTGTTGCATCATTCACTCCCCTGAATTCACTCGCACTATCTAAAAAAGAATTAGAGATCATTAAATCATCTATTTTAACATTCAGATATTGTAATGATGAAAACCACTCATCTGATATTGATTCTTTCTTTTGAACTGTATGAGACTGACACATTTTTCGCATTGCCGGTGAAAGTTTTGGAAATAATTCATCATATGTTTTTGGCTAACTGGACTCTAGAAGTAACTTATCATTTAGTGGTAGTTGTTTTTTTTTTCAGATGTATAATACCACGCATTTTCTACTTTATCATAACCATCTTCCTCATTATCTGAATCTGGAGGCGTATATTGGGGCTGTGTAGATGGAAGTTGAGGATAGTAACATTGAGTAAAATTGGATTTAGCTACAGGATTTAACCTTGAGCAATTGTTTTTCTTATGCCCTTCCTGTCCGCAATTACTGCAATAAAAAGGCTTTCGAGATTGATCATTAAGTGATATCCTACCAAACTTAGATGTCATTTGACCAATTTCATCTATTTTTGACTCTAATCTATCGATTCTAGATGATTGCAACTTTTCTGGCTTTTGCGGTTTAGGAGGTGGCCCATAAGCTTTTGCGACCACTCTCATTATTTCTTCCCTAGTAAGTGTATCAGGGAAAGGATTAGCGCTTTCATATGTATTAAGAAGCTGTTCCATATTTTTAGGAGGAACTGGTGGAGGTATCTTTTTAGTTTGCTGGGCCATTTGTGATTGGAAATCGGCTTTTTGTTTTTCTAATAAAGACTGGTATTCAGTTTTTTGCTGTGCTAATGCATTCTGGATTGCTTTTTGCATATCTTCTAAAGATATTCCATGCTGTTGTGAGGCTGAAACAGGTGAAGGTTCATATATTTGCCAAGATGTTCGATTAGATACTAGCGGATCAGATATTCTATCTCTTTTATGTCTAGCTATTCGGCGTAATTCTATCTCATAAAGCTTTTTAGCTAATTCATCTAATGGCAAATGTTCACCAATATCTTCAGCTTTTTCAAGCCATAAAAGTGGTAAAGCATCTAAGAACTTTCTACGTAATTCTTCAGGTCTATAGTTGGCTCGTCTACCTATTCGTAATATTTTTCTATATAATTCATCTATAGTCATGTCTCCCTTTCTGATTGTTCCATACATCAAATCCTGAAGTTCCTCTTCTACTGTAGGGAAATGAGTTTTTAGCCACCATACGGCTTGACAAAATCGAATACCAGCTACAACTACTGTATTTCCAGTATTAGCATTTGGTGCATTTACAGGATCATTAGTAGGACAGCCACCTGCTATACGCCAGTATTCATTCCAAGCATCTTCTACAGCTTTTAACTTGACTATTGCATTTCCTGGTTAGCCAACAGCCTCATTTAATGCATTAGCTCCTATCTGTACTGCAGTTCGCCCATTTACTGCAACTAAGTTAGCCTGCCCTATATTATCGAGTAAGTTAGTTAGCTCCCAATTCTGCTTTGTAGTAATCTCATCATCGAACCATTCTAAAGTCCTTCCTCTCATACAGGCTCTTAAATGTCCTATTGCATTATCTCTTCCTGTTGGAGGATCTGCTACATTATCATTTGGATCTATTCCCTGATTCTGCAAGTCTAGTCTAAGTTGTGCAAGAAAGTCTGGGATACTATTATCCCAGTCGAAATATAAATGAGGTATTCCTGCCATGTTTACTTGATTAGGTGGATTATTCTGAAGTGCCAAAATTTGTCCCTGTAAATTTAAATTATTTTGGCGCTCTGCTTGGATCTTATTTTTCCATTTCTCATATCGTTCATAGAGCCTATCTCGATTAAATTCTAACAGACCTATATCCCCTCTACTTTGCTGTAAGTGGTAGGCATTTCGCTGATACAATAATTGTAAGGCAAATTTTTCTTGTACCAGCACACCTATACGGGCTTATTTTCTTGCCATATTACCTATCATTCTATTTACCTTGTTTTGAGTATTAATTTGATATTGATGGAGATCACCAATAACATTAGTTATCCTACCTTCAGCAAGTTGCCTTCGTATAATTTCATTATCACATTCAGCTTCTGTATCATAACGCCTTCGTTGCTCACAGACTAAATCCTGATGCAAATTATTTTCTTTTTGGCGTATCTGCCTTGTAGCTCTTTTTATTTGGTCTATAAGAATATCTCTAGTTGTTGCTCTATTATCCACATAACCATCTATAGCATTTGCTAGCTCTGTGATTGTGGCCATATTATCATTAAAATTATACAAGTCTGAAGAATTCTCTTGTTCAGACGAATTTTTTCGTAATAAGATGCTTCTGATCTGGCATCGCAATTTCTTAACTTGTTCCTCAGATTCTACTAACTGCTCTTCTAAACTAGAAATATATTTTCCCTTATCTCGCACATATTTCCTAGTTTAATATAGCTGACTTTTTAGGGTAAAGATTTCAGATTTTAACTCTACTATCTCTTCTTTCGAAGCATTTTTAAGGCGCTCTATCTCCTTATTGAGATCTTGAATTTCTTGCTCACATCGGGTATAATCCTGTTCTAGTTGATTAATTTGTCTCTCATTCTGGCGATTAGTATTAACTTTTATCTGCAATTCACTATGAAGATGATAGTTCTCTTCTTCCAGCTCAGCTTTATGTTCTTCACATGTTCTTTTCTGCCTTGGGTGAGATCTGTGAAATGACATTCTTTTTTTGTGATTATAAAAGAGAATGGGAGAACCCCTTGGATCAATTTATATTAATCTTCAGAAAGCACATGATCTTAACCGGGATCTGGGTTAAGGACTAATCTGAAAAATTTGGCAGGTGATACATGAAATGTATAGCGACTTCAACCAATTTTACTAGGCGATCATCATGTATGCAGATTATTTAGCATAAAAAATAAAGAATAAGTTATACATTGCACCTTTGCATTGGCTAAATAATATTAATTTTCAGTTAAAAGCAATAGTCTATAATGTAGAATATTTCTCAGAATCAGTCAAGTCAGTTAGACAATCATGATTAATGTTCCATCCCTCAATCTCAACGCAGTGCCTTTTGGCTGTTTTGCATATTGAGACGAAATAAATATTTTGCCTGTATCACTTTTGCAATTTGATGACTGATAAGAAGTTGGTGGAATCATTTCTTGGTTACCAGAGGTAACAGAAATACAAGCTGGCTCGAATTTTGGAGCACTTGGCATAATATTTTCTGCTATAGTTGCTTTAGCTGAAAGGTAAGTTTCATAGCTGACTGAACGAATATCATAATCATATGATACCGATGCCAACTTATCCTTTTCTGAGTCTGAGGTAGATTGGGAAAAAAGCTCTAGACGGAGACGATTAATTTTAGCCTCTTCTTGTAATATGTATTGTTTATATTGCCAGATCTGAAATTCCCTTATATCAATAGATTTGAGAATTTCATTTCTTCTTGCATATTCATTCAAAATAGTATTTCCAGAAATACATCTCTTCAAGTGGTTATCTCCATAGCGATCCTCAAAAAGACTATTTGCAGGTGTGAAAACTAAGGAGTTACATACACTGCAATATATATAATTGGTTGGACGATTATGAATCCTATCATCTACATATAGCTTTCCATACATTGTAATATATCCATTCTTAGAAAGGATTCTTGGGTTCTCTTCTAGTATTTTCCTAAATGGATCAAAAATACGAGAACACCACATTTCTGGTGTTTCATGATCATGTCTTTCTGCTAAAGAGATTATAGCAACAATAATTCTTATATATTCTTCAGAGCCTCCAACACTATTGTGTGCATGAATTAACTTGGAATAGGCTTTACTATCTAAATCCATATTAGTGTTTTGGTAGATTATAACAGAATATAACAGAATATAACGATTTTATTGATTTATACTGTTTTTAGCGATTTTAGCCAATTTAGCAATAGTATACTTTAATAAATATCAGATTCATTTTTATTCGATTATAAGCATACTGAGGATTTATATAGGGCCATATCTCGACTATGCTAATTTTATATTTACATGCATATGCACAACGCCTTGGCTAAATCGGTTTGTGGTACAACGTATATCATATCACAGTATCACCCTAACTCCCTGCCAGTTCCTCGATAGTTCTAGGAGAGTTCCAGGAGCTGGCGAGTTTCTATAAATCACGAGATGATCAGTCAATCAGATTTCGATTGATTTATACATTTATTTCTAGATATGAATCGAATTTTTAGTTATATGAAATCATTAAGTTCTTAAGGGTCATAAATTTAAAAATCAATAGTCTGATATAGACAAAGCTTTATTATTTTTTTTTATTGATACAGAGCATTTATAAAAAGAAATCCACTGACCGATCGGACAGTGAATAGAAAAATAAAAATGACTTCATGGAGACCCCGCATATGAAGTGTGGTCGGAGACATGACATGCAAAAATTAATGCTAATCTTATGTCGCACAGTCCGGCACTGTGCAATTGATCTGGCAATTTGTTTTGAAATCACGTGCACGGGACAATTCCAATACAGATATACACATACACGCACACTGGTTAAAAATAGGTGATCTGTTTAGCGAAACTTTATAATTTTATTAAGCAATTTTGAATAATATAAACTTAGTTACATGGTAATATGCTAAAAAAAATGCCAATTATTTCACCAACTAATGTTATTTATATATATAAATTATTATCATCATATTACAATTATTTTGTCTATGTTCTCTGGTAAAGGTTTTAGATCATAGAAAAAGTAATCATCAGGTAAGAGTAGCCAATCTCGTACCTTCACAGAATTGTCAACTGGAGCGGAAGAGTACATTTTTCTCTGTAACTTCTCCTGATTCACAAACTCAGTTCGAATTCTCATGAAGAAATTAAATATCTTTGTATAATAATGAATTGCATCAAACGAAAACGGAATCAAGCAAGAAACCAGCTCAACGGCCAAGAACTTCTCTTTGTCTATGAGAGAAACTGAAAATAACATAAGATGATCGCCAATAATTTGAATGCTATAAGTTTTTATCTCTTTAGCAATTTCGACACTGCAATCCAGGTTATTTCCAAGCGTTTGGCAAAGGCTACATACAGACATCATAAGCAACTTTTTGGCATCTCCGACTGTGTGTTCTCTTGTAACTTTAAAGGAAGGTCCTGAGACTTCAGTGTTCATTATTTCCAATCCGTCTGATAAACGTATGACAAGTAGATCCGTCTTTCATGGATTGATATCTTCTGCAAACATATTGTTTGCCTTTTTTATTGAAGCAACATTTTTTTCGATCCAATCATATTTAATATCCAGGAATGCATTTCGGAATGCACGGAAGATAGGTGAAAGAAATTCCACAATATATGTTCTTTCAGATATTTCACGGTCTAAAACTCTCGGTATTCTATATCTGAAGTTAGCTACAAAATCTATGAGTGCATCCCTTATGAAGCAGTTGAACCTTGCTTCTTCTGTATATATGTCACCATTGATAACTGTTTCCAAATTGATTTTTGATTCTATCTCTGTATATTTTGTTTCGAATATCGTATCCAACTTCTTAATCAAAGTTTCCTGTAAAATAAGTCGGCCTTTTGCTTGTAATAGATTTTTTATTTCTGTGTAGATTCCCTCTTCAATAGTTTCTTTTATGTAATTTATTGTCGTGTTAAATGCGCAAATGAGGTATGGTGAATATCTATCATATATAGTTTTTGTTATGATAGGTTTTTGTGGTGTAAAAATTGTGGCTTGTTGAGTCGATTGGATAACTGAACGTGGTATATCTCGCAAAGTAGAAATAGTATCTAATGGTGTCCGTTGGGTTGATTGAATAATTGGACATGATGTGTTTTCTCGCGAAGTAGAAATATCTTCTGAAATTTCTGGTGTCAGGAATTCTGAAATTTCTGGTGGTGTCGAGGATTGTTGGGACGTGTCTGGAGTAATTTCATGCGAAGTAGTATCTTCCAGTGTCTCTGAAGTTTCTACAAGCGGAACAATGACATCTTTATCCATACCATCACTCGCTTTTCTACGTGATCGTTTTCTTAGTTCTTGTTTCTTTTGTTTATTAATAGGTTCCGAATCAAAGTCAGAAAATTTATGATCATGTGCGAAACAGTAAAAAAAATATCAAATTACTTACTCTCTTGGGTTTCTCAATGTAATCTGGATCTGAGGAATGATCTTCTTCCTCTGAATTTTCACGATAACGTATGGATTTTCTTTTTCTGATCGATCTCTTCCAGCAAGAAAAGTTATAAATCAGTTTTAATGTAATTAATCTTTAATCCTTAACTGGACTCACTTTTTTTGTAACTTCCACGGTCTCCTCAGCTATATTCTCCATTATATGTTGCGTCTTACTACTTATATCAACATGGCACCGTTTCTGTACAAGTATATCATTTAGTAAAAGCTCAAAGAGTTATTCAGCCAAAAGCATACTTACCGTTCGCAAAGTTCTCTCTGATTCTAGACGTTGTTCTTCGTTATTGTTACACATTGACTCAATTTCGTTCCAGAAGTTATTGACATCTTCATTATAGAACCGATGTTTCTGATAAAAAAAAGAAATAAGTTAATACAAAGTTTGTGATTGCCAAGATGCTCGTGTGAAAAAAAATGTTTAATTGTTTTATTTATTTCGCAGACCACAACGGACAAGAAGACCATAAGGTAGAAAGCAATAAGGTTTCCACCATAGTTGTGTGAGTTTAATCCCTTCTCAGGACTACTGGGAGACTCCCATACTGCTTGTGGCAGACCACAACGGACAAGAAGACCATAAGGTGGAAAGCAAGAAGGTTTCCACCGTAGTTGTGTGAATTTAACCCCTTCTCAGGACTACTGGGAATCTCCCACACTGCCTTTAGGATAAATTAAAATCACTTGCCTCAAAGCCTTGGATCAGCCGAGTAGCACCCTTCTTAATATCTTTTGAACGATTATCTTTTATCAACAAGTCAAAACTCTTTCTAAGTATATGTCAGCCTCTTTACAAAAAGAGAATGTAAAATTTTGTTGATTTTGACGGTGTTTATAAAAGCCCAGAAATCGGTATTGATTAGGCGATGTTTCATTGAAGTAGCTATCCCACGACATTATAGATGGAAATTTTTTTTCAGTATTAGTAAACGAAGATTATGAAAAAATTTTTTGGATATATGAGAAATTGATGTCGCACAGATTGATCTGACTCATCAATTGATAAGAACTTTGATATCGTGACCGACGTGACCCGTACTTTTTACATATCAGGTGATAAGCGTGAAGATTCTTCACGGTACTTTATCAATGAACGATGAAAAAAATAAGTGATCTCAATTTCTAATAAATTAAAACAAAACTAACTGGCAAAATTTCAGAACTTTACGAATGTAAGATTAAGCACAAAATTTGATTTATAATAATGTAATCGCTCTTTCGTGTAATGTGAAACTGCCATCTGGTCCTTATATATCTTTTATTATTTCAATTGAATTATAATATTAATTACGATATAATAAAAACTTAATAAAAGGATCCTGCAAGTCAGTAGAATTTAATTATAATCTAGCATTACATAATTTCAACTAAACAAAATGTCTGGTTTTCTATATAATTGGATCAGACCGAAACGGACTAATTCCACTTGCTTTAAATTCAAAGACATCTTCCTATACATATGAAGGAATCAACCATTTATCTCTATAATGCTAAAAAAATATCATAATGCTTGAGTGGTACAAAGCACATGCCATGATCATTATTTCAACCCTGCATATTTGCATTTTGAACTTGTCCATGATATCGCTGTAATTACATATGTCATTTTATATTTTCTTATTAAATATATATTACTATAAATATAATGTTTAAATATAAAAAGATAAAATAAAAAACAAACAAAAAAAACAGGAAAAAAAAATCCAAATTGTAATAAACATGGGTAGTTCTCAGATTACTGGTAAATATGAAAAAAAAATCACTAATGTTCATTCTTTACATGTTAACATTGAGTAATAAATGTTTTTGTTTTTATTTTAGAAAATTAAAAATTTGAGTAAAAGAATTGATCGAATGGATAAAAGAATTCTTGAAATAGAGAAATCCAAATTCGAGGGAAAAGTTATCCAATTGGAGGAAGATAATGCCCAATTAGAAAAAGACAATATCCTTCTGAGGAATGAAAACATCGAATTAAAGAATGAAAATATTCAGCTGAAGGCATGGATTGACGAAATGGAGAACAACAATATTCCATTGGTAAACGAAGATACCAAATACGGAAACGTCTCAAAAAATGAACTCACTAAAACGTCTCAATATCACTAACATCACTGAAAAAAAAATGTAAAAAATCATTTTGATATAATAAATATAAAATTAGTTAATAGTTTAAAGTACTAAAGAATTCGATGTATTTCAGAATTAATTTCAAATTTTGATGGTTTCGTGCTGTTTAATAATAAATAAATAAAACATAAATTAACCAATATAACTAGCATCTCTAAACATTTTTCCTGAACTACTTTTAGTAAACCATGAGATTTTCTCATTTTTGATAAAAGGTTCATTAAAGGATATTGGGAGTTTATAAAGAATTATTATTTAAGTTTTATAACGTCTCTGATGATGCATGCTTACGTTATTGATGATTTCTTTTGTATTATTCGAATAATATTTCAAGAAAGCGTCACCGAATGTCTTGTGCGATTGTGCCGTATGTGATTGGAATGTATACGAAAATGGACTTTAGATGAGGACAGAGAAGCAAATAGATACATTTCATAACGTATTATAAATCTTCTAGTTTATGATATTTGCGATATAAAAAAAGAGAATATTTTCTTAATTGTTAAGCTATATTTTTATAATCTTCTTAATTAATCTACTCGCTTTCCATACAACCATAGCAGTTTGAGCGAGCACTAAGGTACCAGCTGGAGTAGTTGGAAAAATTGAAGCAATCGGAGATTTTTGGTTCCATAAACTTGAACGATGATTAACACATGATTTGATCCCATTTTCACAGTGACGCATGGATGGAATTATGGGTATGACTAGAATAAGAGAAAGAAAAGATATTATAGTATAGAAAAATTAAATAAGTGTATTTTTGTCGTATATATAATATGTAAATTATAAATTGATTAAAAAACATAGTATATCAGACATTAGGCCTGTTCAATTCTGATCGTTCTGGTTTATTGATCGAAAATCCATTAACCAATCCTATCATGTGATCAAAATCAAAATTGAGTTGATCGGCTTATTGAACGGTCACCTTATTTTTCATATTTTTCTTTTTTAAAAATGGCAAATAAGCAATACCATAAAGGTATATTAAACTTTTTGAGGGCGCGTATTAAAACTTCACTTATCACTAGACACCAGACACGTTAAAAAAAGACAATATTATAGGCTGCTTCTGTCAACTACACTAGTACATGTTATCGATAATAGGAACATTTAGGTAGTAGGGCAAGGGAATACGATAACTCTATACAGAACTAATGACTAAAAGCAATAGATTCTTCGGATTTGAACGAAATAGCAAAATACGTTTCTTCCTCATTATACTTAAGAATTTACGAATCAATAATACAAGTCATGAAGGATTTCGTACTAGAATTTTTATTTTATTGAAAAAAAGTAACATCTTTCAATTTACGTTATTGAAAATTACATGGACTAACATTGTATTTTTTAGTGTATAAATTACTAGTTCCCTTTCATGGCAGGAAAGTTAACCCGTGAAATCAATCTTTGAAAAAAGTCGGTTACAAAGAGAGAGTCCAACTAGAAAGCACCGCAGAATAGACCAGTAGGTATATATTAAATCACCTGAAAGGGATTCCGATGGAATTGTTGCAATAAGTTATCCGAATGAAATGTGAATAAAGAAATTATTTACTTTTACTTACATGTTTGATTCTTTGGACCGCTCTTTGGATTAGGTTACAAACATCATCGTTACCACCTCAGAAAGTCCCAACTATAACATCTCAATCTCTTTCTCTCCGTTACCATTATCACTACATCATCAATATGCCGATCCACAATTCGCAGACGAGTTGCTACTGCTGGACAAATGAAAATAGCTGCAGTACATTACGAATTAATGTGTCTATCATTAATCAGAGTGTTATTGTGTTATCCCCTCGAAAAATAGAATCGGAATAAAAGTCTCGAAAAATTAAGATTAGCATCTTGCAAAGGACACATACTATTATTTTCCTAAAAAAACACCCAAGTGTATATGGAAATCAACTGTTCCTAGGTGGTGATACCAATTAACTGGGATCTGTCGTTGCGTTTCCAGGGACGTGATCGAGAATATTATTTAAGGAGTAACTATTTCGTATGATGCAGAGATTGGCCTTGCATGACCATACATCAAAGTTTTCCAATAGTATGTGCTATATTTCTTTGGAACCTTCTTGTTGTCGCAATGATTTCATATCTCTTCGTGTTTGAACCTACACACGTTGATTTTTGATGAAGTAATCCGAATTAGTAAACATGTAGATAATCAAATACATAAAAAAAAATAACAGATAGGTTCCAAGTATCAATTAGTACAACTTACATGGTATAATGAATAGCATATGGATAGTTACGTGTGGATAATTTTTGTAATACCGCATTTCTAAGACTTACTTTATACAATAATTATATTCTTTATTGGAAACAAAATAAACTATGGTGTTCGATTTCCTTTGTTAAGAATCTACACTACGTATTGCGTTTGCAAATTTCGAATCATACTATGATCAAAGATTTGTTTCTTGCATTTTTTAACTTAATGAATGAAGACTCGTTGAAATGCACATGATTCCTTATATTCTTGGTATGACAAATGGGAATCGTTACCATAAAAACTATTGTCATTACTCATTACAATGAGACCGTAACCCTTGGGTCACAGTATCACATGTCTATATATCTCAAAATTTATTGCATTCTCTGTTATCTCTGTTGTTAACGTTGCATTAGAATCTGTTGAAAGAAAACCAAGAAAACCGTAAACTGAGTAATATACTGGCTTTCTCTGGAATTCTGTGTCACGCAGAAATAATTTTAAATAAAGCCAGCCAGTCACAGATTATATTCTAATACATCATTAATATTTTTTTAATTGCGTACCTCGTAGCCAAAAGTTAACCGAATATCGCTTTGTAATGGGGAAATTGAGTCAAACATTGAGTTTTTGTATCATAAAAGAAACTATTTTTTTTACATGTGGCCTTAAGACTTGTAGAAAAAGAGCCACCACTTCATAGCGTTTTGGCCGCAATCAGTATCACAATATATACTTATTTTTGGTATACTAGCCGAGTTTGGATTTGATACATTAAAGTGTCGTAATAGTATTTTCTATTTGTTATTATTGAATCCTAATTATACCATGGTTCGAATTATTTTGAACACTATCGCTATTTTTATACAACATATGCCAGAATAAGAAGTAGACTAGTACTATAGAATATTTTAGGTTACGGGTGAATCTTTTTTAGAAAATTAGTAGAACTATTGTCTGCATTAAAATAACGAAATTGTGAAAAAGCTAAATTGCCAGAAATTAAGTGTAGCTCATCATTACTTTGCAATTAAAAAATCACATATTTAGGAATAGAACTGGAAATCATTGTAGTCGGGAAGGATACGTAGACAAATTTATTCCTACTGCGTTGTTCTATTATGATCGTGATAGTTAATAGAATCTGGACAGCAATTTTTGTCTTGTGCAGTTTCCCTAATATAGTAAAAATTAGGTCACCAATAAACAACGATAGAGAACAACTTATGTCGTGTGATATCGAGATGTTTGGAAAAAAACTATTCATTCTATATAATTTCGCAGGCAAACAGACTGTTCTTTCTGCCTGTGAAACTTTGAATGTAAATAGAAAGTAGTATGATATATGTAGCCCGATGGAATGATGGATGAATTGTTTCGTATTTTTAAATGTATTTTGTATATTATACCAACTTCTCTGCTTGTAGAACCTTAATGTGAATAGTATGATATTATGTTACGCAGTGACGTGGTTGATTGTTACGCAACAACTCGCACATTGTGCGCCATTTCTCTATATTTTTCAATGTATGGTCTGTAATGAGTTTATTATTAAGGTAAATTGTTATATTTTGCATCATTTTAATGTTGATTTTTCCTTCCGCTTGTAGAATGTTAATGTAAATAGTATGTTAATATTGTGTTAACACGCAACAGAATTATAACTCGCACATGCCATCGTATGATTATAGATATCATTATTGAAGGTAAGTAATAAATACGAATAAATCTTCCATTCGTTGAGAATACTATCTTTGAATATTCATATTCAAGTTCTAAGCTAATTCTTTTCAAATGACAGACGCAGTTGATAACTATTTTCCAACCAGTGATGTTTTTGATTTCTTTATTTATAGTTTCCTTCCTTTCATGGCTGCATGGAACTATACTTTATTCAAGGGAAGAAAAGCAGTACGGTTCAGAACTTTTGTTAACTTGGTTGAAACTAACTTGGTTAAATACGCCATACCATTCGGTTGTTGTTGTGTTAACAAAGATATTTCGTTCCATCATCCAATGACTTATTACTTTTTGGCATTAATGTCATTAGATGCTATAATGATAATATATTGGATACTTATAAGTAGTATAGAAAGGGATTTGTCGATTTTCAGTATTGATCGCATCGGAACATTGGAAAATAATTGTTGTCTTAAAATTTTTCACCTGTTTTACTTGTTTGTCCAAGTTATTTTTACTACTTATATACAAGTGCTTATTGTTCCTATCTTGACACTTTATTATTTTCATCAAATATTTTCCGTGGTTGAATGTGCTTTATTCTACGGAATAACACTATTACTTATTTTGTTTTTGAGTTTATTTATTTGGAAAAAATTAAGTTGTTATTTTGCTGTGACTTTCTTCAACTTTTTATTTATTGCGTTACATATTGTGCTGTTTATTTCACCAAATGGCTATTTTACCAAAGCAGAGATTGGAGTATGCTTTCTTTATTTGAGTAATATGTTTAAACTCAATGAATTATATGGTAGCGTGAATGCATATGATCCATATCTACAGACCATGTTTGATCATTATCAATCTGTACGATGGTTGGGTTTTTGGATATTTTATTCAATACGTAAAGGTCTCAAAGAAAGCCGGCTTGGTGATCTTGTTTATGCTGGAAGAGAAGTTAATTTTTATAATTTGAATAGTGGTGATCGCAAAGACTGGTGGTATATTTACGAACTATGGGATTATAAATTTGTTAAAGAGGTTCAACGTGATAAGAACAGAAGAGAATTATATAACGCTATAATAGAATATGAAATGATTTAGTTTTTTAATTAAATTATTACCATAAGAAATTTACATATACTTTTTTTGTACTTTTAACTCGTATTTTTGAAGATAATTAATAAAATTAATCAATTTTTTGCTAAAGTGATTCTTTTTAGTAATGACTGTCTTATGTACAAGATGCTACCAAATAATAGAACCAGTAAACAAAGAAATTTACAAGATCCTAACCAGTATGATTTATAGATTATCGAGATGTTTAATTAAATTGTCACCATAAGAATGTTACACTGCCTAATTCAAAGTTGATCCTCGTTAAAAAAAAATGTCTATGTAATTCTTTTTTTTTTTTTTATTAAATAGTAACGCGTTTTATTAATTATTTAAATTTGATACAAATGACATAATTAATCGTTAAAACACTTAGAGCTTATCGAAAAAAAAAATTTCTCAAAACTCTATAACTAAGTATTTTAAGAACAAAATTACATCTTTTACATATATTACTTTCTATTTTGTTAGTATTTCTTTGATATAAAACATTATATGTAGGCTGTTCTTTTAATAGATTCTTTAAACGATAAGAACGCTCTTTCGTATCTTTATCATTGCATTGCCTCTGTAAAAATTCAATTCTATTACTAACAAATTCTAGTGAGAAAAAAACCTTAATATCATTTCCTGAAAGTAAATTTAGACAAAACTCTTTCCTCTTACTAGAAATATGTTCAATCGCTCCTAAAAAAAATAAAAAGGAATGTAGTTTTGTTTGGTTTTTGTCAAATGACGCGTGCCGAAAAAAAAAAGTTGTTCGTACAATCATACAAGTCATTCTTTATTTCTGGTTCGTGATAAACATACATGTATGAAATCGTTACCATACATAGCATACATGTGACACCATACATACATCGGTTTCCATACAATACTTGTTTTTTGTTTAATCTGTATACATGACATGTTTTTTACATACCGAAGGTCACTAGGTGCTCGTTCTACTTCATTATTGAGTTGGTCTATTACAGAATCGGGTACATCAACAGTTGGTACCGTCACCACTGGCATCGCTTCTTTATCATTTTGTGTCTGACCAAATGACAACGCCATCCCATCCACAGCTGAACCCTGTTCTAATAATGCAAGTCTAGCCTCAAGCTCTCCAACTCTAGACTTGAGTTCGGCATTCTCAGAATCACGCCTTGCATTCTCTTCAATAATTTGCTTCAGCTTCGCATTCTCAGCCTCAACCTCAGCAAACTTTAGTAACTTCTCTCTAAGTTCGGGAATCTCAGCATTCTCCTTCCTAAGCTCTGCAATCTCAGCTAAGAGCTTGGAATTTAATTCTCAATGGATTGCATGTTCGATAATAATTTTTTATATAAAACGGAATAATTCAAAAGTTCGTTAGCATAGATAAAAAAAACCGTGACAAATGTCACGATCGGAATTATTGATTTATTGATGTAAAAAAAAAGACATTGTTTTACAATGTGAAATAGAGTCGCCTGCCGGTGTTTCGCTCATCTAAGCTATCTAAGCTATCTATATACTAACATATCCCAATATTAACTCTAATCCGATTTTTTTTGTCTCAACGTCGATATTCTGGATAGAATAAAATGGTCGTCAGTTTATGTATAGAAGAGTCAGAAATAAATTAACAATATTGGGCTTAGTAAAACTCACCAAAGGTATGTTCCCCGCCTAATAAGGTCCTCGAAATTTCTGAATAAAAAGAGATTAGCTTTACAAGCTATGAATCACTCCCTTGCAAATGCACAGTCACAGCCTTTAATTGTGAAGTGTCTCGTCCGGACTTTAATAATTTTTTCGTCAACACTTCTTAACTGCGATAGGTTCATGCTCGGAGAAAATAGCACGACGGCTTGGGGTCGGAATAAGAAAAAAAAAGTTGTACAGAGAAAACGCCTTAATTACACCAGATTTAATTTAGTTGTCATTATGACATAATTTAAAATTAATTTTATTGGCTACTAATTGTTGTTGTACAACCGAAGAATTAATAAATACCTCGTGAATGCGATCTGAGTATCACTCTTTTTCGCTTGCCGACAAGTCAATTTTATAAACTTTTTTTTTGCTTATATCGTTTATATGTCATTATATCATATTTCGTGTCACCAATTAAGAGTTTATAAAGATCATTTTATAATTAGTCACGATGTATTCAGAAGTATATATACCTTTTTTTTTTTTCTCAAATTTCTCTAAACTTCTTTTAAAAAAAAAATATCATTTATAATTTTACAGAAAAATACTTTCAAAATGAAATTCTCCTTAAATTGTCTATTTCTGAAAGAAGCTTCTGTCCGATCTATTTCAGTTGATATTAGTGACGAAATTATTGTTGGCATTAACAGGATCGAATATGAAGATATTAAAGTTTCACATGTCAAATCTCTTATCTTGACTGGAAAAGGAGTTAGTTATTCTCCTGACAATCTGAATCTTTGGAAGGTTGACCGTGATAGTGTCATCAAGAACGACGAGTTGCTTAGAACATTTTCTACCGAAAATGACATTAAAGAAAAACTTGGAGGAGAATTGATGCAACCTCGATTTTCTCTTGATGAATATTTCAACGAGGATAGTTTTAAAGATAAGAAAAGCAAGTCTGCCATTCACATCATCGTGCAACGTCTGACCACCACCACTGGTAAGTGTCTCCCAATTTTTTACCTCTCGAACAAGGAAATTGCAGTAACAAAATATCGAGTTTGGTCTGATCTCCTTTTTTTCGCGTTAAAAATAGGTCCCTCCCAACAAGGTGTTTCATCTAAAAACTATTGGCCTGGAATAATGTCAAAAAATTTCTAACAAATCTCTCACTTATTAATGGTTTTAGGACCTAACTGGAACGATGCTTCTTCCATCTATGAGTGGATACAACAACAATTCACATTGGACCGAAAACGAAAACGAATGCGAGTATGTCTTTCCAGCTTTGTCACCTCTCTAATAATGAGTTTCTTAGTTCCTCTGATTAAAATAAAATTGACTTTTTCAGCTCGTTGGAAGCTTTGGCAAAAACTTTGAACTTTGTCAACGAGATGACACCATTAAAACCCTCTGGAATGGTAATCAAAGGCTAATTGGGATTGAGAGACGATTTCAATTCCGTACGGAAGATGACAGAAGCTATCATCCAATTCCTGTCTTAGCGGGCGGACCTGGAATTGGAAAGAGCAGATTTCTAGACGAAGTTGAAGAATTAATCAAGGAAAAAGCTGAGGAATCTCAAAATAATGATTTCAAAAACATGATTACCATCAATACAACCTATGGGAATTCAACCATCGCTGACGAAATCGATGTAAGGATTCAAGCACAGCCATCTCTCGCACTACGTATTCTATATAAGTACTTTCAACCAAAACACAAAGATTATGCTCAAAGCTATAATTTTCTCTGCTTCCGCGCATGCTGTATGCAAGCTAATCCAGACATTTCATTACTTACCCTGGACATTGCTCTTCAAATTATCTACAAAGACTTTGTGCAAATTAATCCAACAACACTTGATCCTCTTCTGGTCCTGGTCCTTGGCATCGACGAGTTCAATAAATTGCATGTTCAAAATCAAGAGGTCTGTAGGAACCTTATACACGCCATTGGAGCATCAATGTGTGCATCGCATGAAAACATATATTTCATTCCTATTCTAGCTGGAACGATTGAAGGACCCTTAAATAGTTATATTTCAGGTTCTATGCATGAACCACTTCACCTCCCACTACGCTTACTTAATGATGATGATGCAATCAAAATTGGTATGAAAATGAAGTTGTTTGATGATGAATATGTCAGATTGGATCCATATTTTCGATTAAGTATTAGTGATGTTGGAGGACATGTGAGAACATTGGAATATTACTACGAATATTTTTCAGGACAATGTGAGAAAGATATAAAACGCATAAAACAAGAAACAGAAGAAATGATGTCAGAAGAGGAGATACTAAAAACAGCTGTTTATAACGTGAAAATTAGTGGTATCATGACACTTATCATAGAAAGGATTGGACAAAAATATCTTCAGCAGCTAAACTCACGATGGTTGACAATACCTCTTGCTAATGCCATATTGGGTTTTCCGGTTCAAAAAAATGATGCGATCACTCTCAAAAAAAGTTCAATGACATATCAGGAACTTAGTTCAATGGGAATTGTGAACCTGGTTCCAACAAAACAAACTAACGAATACCTTATTCGGTTACCCTATGTGTGGGTATGTGCAATCGTTGGAAACTCCAATGACCCTGGGTTGACTTATTGGAAGTCCATGTTAAATTATAATGAGCCGATGAATTGGTCGAATTTCGAAGATTTTAATACCAAGTTCTGGGCATTACGCCTCTGTCTCTTTCGTTTAATAGGATATAAGAAGATTGAGTTGAAGACCCTTTTTAAGGGTGCGGATTTCTCTCTTAGTTTTCCAGATGTTGAAGTTGACTTACCTCAAATTAAAGATATCAAATTATATAAATTACTACATCGATACCCAGGTATTATGTTTTGCAGATTTTTTCTATCATAAAAATCACATCAAACTCAAATCCCATTCTAATATAATTTAGTCACTAAAACTTACGAGAATAATCAAGTGAAATATGCAAACATAAAGGAAATAAGAAATGGTTATATTGACCTAGATTTATTGAAGGATGAAATGATCAAGAGTTATATTGGTTCTGTATTTCTTAATGCGTCTGGGGCTCCCTTTGATGCCTTTGGGTATCTTAATAAAAGTTCTGAGTCTGCGGGTGAAATTTGTGTAGCTCAACAATCAAAATCAATTATTACTTCTAAGGTTATCATCAACAAAAACAAAAGTTCTGAGTCTGCGGGTGAAATTTGCGTAGCTCAACAATCAAAATCAACTCAAACTTCTATGGTTACCGATAACCAAAAATTGTTTGATAAAGAGCATAACAAGGTAACAACACTGCTTCACATATTAAGTGCACATACATTTTTAAATTGTTGATTAACAAATCTCTTTCTTATATAATAATAAGTCTACCGAAGCTTTGCCTGAGAAAGATTTGGTTTTATTATTCTTAACGAATGCAGATAAAAAAAACAACCTGTCTATATATGATAAACCAAATAGCGCATTAGTGTCTATGGAAAATTTTCCAAAGTTTTATGGATATACATATGCGAGTCGCGCACAATTCGCATCTGGTATGTTTGTAATTTGGAATTCCTTTTTTGATCATAATGTTTGCTAATGTTCTTTTACATTTACATAGCGAACGAAAAAGTATATATTAATTCTGCACCTGTTGAGTCACTCGTAATTCTTGGCTTCAATGAGGATGAGAGGATTAATATACGTCTTAAACGCAAAGAACGCCCTTTCGATAATATAGACGATATAAAAAAAAGGCTTGGCATTGATGATGAGAAATGTAAAAAGTTGAAGCTTGCTAGGATTTATTTTTAATCTTGGAAGTTGATGACTTCTGTATTAAATAGCAATATCATAGATACACATGCAAAAACTAGTCAACAAATGTCCATGTAAATTCAAATTATTATGTAAACATATAAACATTGTATAATTGTATTAATCACGTTTTTTTTATTAACACTTAATTTAATAATATTATTACATATTTATATAATATTGTAATTTACATAATTTAAACTAACTAAATTTTTATTTAAAAAATTACTTTATAATATAGTTGGTAAGTTATTTATTTAATTTTATCCCACGGTTCCTAATCAATTTCTGTAACTTTTTTTACTGATATTTTCACGGAACTGATCAACATGTTTATATCACATAATAAATTATACTTTTTATTGTTAAACTTATTATTATACTATTGAAAATAAAAATGATATTATATTATTTGCATTTATACATCTTTAGATTTCTTCCAAAGCATTTTATATTCATCTTCATCTCCATTTTTCGTCAGAGACTGCTCAAAGAGCACACATTATTGACTTAATAACAACATAGCATGCTTTCTATATTATCACTTTGCCGATCACTTTGCCGATTACTTTCATTTTCCATTAAAAAAATAATTTTAACGAAATGTAAAATAAATTGCAAAATCTATTAGATATTATTATTCTGAATTACGTAATTGTTTGACACAAGTGTACGCATTTTTATTAGCTAGATTTCATGATGTTACACAAAACTTAAATTTGTGATATCTTCACTATCTTAATTAAATAGCGCCACAAAAAATTTAATAGCATACATATTTCAATACTTCAAACTCTTTTTAAGTATCTCGCAAAATAATTTGAATATTGGAGAGGTAATTCGGAAGTTACAAGTATGTTAAAGTTTCGCATAAAATAGTAATATTATATTTTATAATTATTTTTAGGGGTTTGTTTTTTATCGCCATGGCGATGCATCGCCAGTGTCACGTGATTTCATAATTCCGGCCGGAATTAAAAGATCGTCAAAGAAATTTTTGGAAGTTTTGTGTAACAAAAACTTAGAATTTTGCTGAAAAATAAAATTGCCTTTTTGGATTGTGTAACGTTACCTAAAGCTCCAAAAAAGGATATTTTGGCCAGCGTTATAAAATTTGGCCGAGATTAAGCATGTGATGTATAGGGAGTGACAAATAGTATTTTTTGCACTGAAAAAATTCCAAGTCCCCAGAATAAATAATAAAAATGGAAAACTAGAGGATGTGACGCGGGGTGACAAATTATTCACATATGTAAAGTCACGTGACACTTGCGACACATCGCAATGGCGATTTTTTATAAAATCCTTATTTTTATTTAATTTATATTTATTCTTATTCAATATAATTATAATTTGTTATTTTTTAAAAGTTTACTTCTATAATAGTCTATTAAAGAAAATAAAGTGACAAGATAAATATTTTGACCAAATATTTTTGCAGAATAAAGGGAGAGTTTTTTGGTATAGGATTTTCAGAGTAATTTTTTT